CCCAAGGGAAATGAACCTATAGACCCTTTGCTATATATACAAAAGAAAATTACCTGTTGTTATGGGGCTGTTAATCAGCCTTTGTATTGTACCCAGTTGGTGACTGCCTTGCCTATTGGCATTCTCATGGGAGAGAATATAATAGTCTGTTCCTTTGGGATGGAAAGGAAGCATGGAAATCCAAGATAAAATGAGAGCTCAGGGAGAGTGGGCATGGTTTAGAATCCCTATGCAGTATTGAAGCTGATTTTTTAAAAAAGAATTCTGATTTGAGAGCTATATAGTGTTCAGAGTTTTCATGACTGAGGTAACTTTGTTTTTTTCATGCTTAATGTCAGTTCACTTATATTTAAAGTGAGAATTTGGGGGCACCTGCGTGGCTTAGTGGGTTAAGCTTCTACCTTTGGCTCGGATCATGATCTCAGGGTCCTGGGGTTGAGCCCTACATCGGGCTCTCTGTTCATCGGGAAGCCTGCTTCCCCCTCTCTCCCTGCCTGCCTCTCTGCCTGCTTGTTATCTCTCTCTCCCTGTCAAATAGATGGATAAAATCTTTTTAAAAAAAAAGTAAAGTGAGAATTTTTATGAATTTTTAAAAAGGAATTTAGTTATAGATCTTGCCTATGGATATTAAGCAGTTGTTATGACTGCCTCCCTTAATTCTATCAAGGTTAAATTTCTAAATCTATTAATGTATTAGAGGTCCCCAAGACCACCTCTAGTTGATTCACTACAGGGATTCAGAGAACTCAGCAAAACTGTACTCATATTTATGATTTATTACAGCAAGAGGCTACAAAGCAAAATCATCTAGTGAAGGACTCATAGTGTAGTCTGGAGGAAACCAGACAAAAGCTTCCAAGGATCCTCTCCCGGTGGAGTCACATAGGATGTACCTAATTTCTCAGACATCAGATTGTGATTACCCATGCAAAGTGTTGCCTACCAGAGAAGCTTCTCAGAGGCTTCTCAGAGGATCATGGTTTTTACTGGGGGTTGGCCACATATGCACCTTCTGCCTAGCACGTCTTAAAATTACAGACTCCCAGAAAAGAGTAGCTGTTGAGCATAAATAAGGTTTATGCGGTTTCAGCACAGTGAGCCATGCATCAGTTCTTGGGATGGTGGGGACCCTCCCAAGTTCAGGTTTCTCTATATCAGCCAAGGGTCAACCGTTCAAGCTGGCCTTTCTAAGGATGGCAGGCTCATACCTGTTATGGTAACTCCTTTGTATACAACTAACTTTCTTCCTTTCCTTCTGCTCCACAAATCGGAGCAAAGAATGCTTGCATCTTCTCGGTAACAAATTTACTCAGATTTTATATAACACTTGGCAGGCCATATGGGGAGAAGGGAAGGCAAAAAAGGATATTGCATGTATTGGAGATGACTTGGATTTTCTCCTCGCCAGATGAGTTCTTTTTAATTTCTATATTAATCCATTACTATGTGTCAAAAAAAATTTGCAGGCTTATTGCTAAGTATTATTTTTAAAGTTGTACTCTAGAAACCATACTGTGTGCTCTAAGGTGATCTTTTTCTAAAATATACCAGTTCCTAAAGACAACACTTAGAATGGGAGTAAAAATTTTTTTAAAGGGTTCACTCATCCATTTTGAAAGAGAGAGTGAGAGTGGGGCGGGGCGCAGAGGGAAAGAATCTCAAGTAGATTCTTTGCTGAGTGGCGAGGGGGCCCGATGCCATGACCCTGAAACATGGGCCTGATCCCATGATGACCCTGAGATCACGACCTGAGCCAAAACCAAGAGTTGGTCGCTCAACCAACTGAGCCACCCAGGTGCCCCATAGAATGGGAGTAAATTTTTGTAAATCATGTATTTGATAAGGGACTCGTTATCTAGAGTATATAAGAAGTTATTACAATTCGATAATAAAAAGGCAGCCCAATTTAAAAAAAGACGTATCTGAATAGATATTTCTCTAAAGAAGATATACAAATCGCCAATAAGCCCATAGAAAGATGCTCAACATCATTAGCCGTGACGGAATTGCAATCAAAACTGCAATGAAATAATTGCTTCGCACCCACTAGGATGGATATAATCAAAACCACAGAGAGTAACATGTGTTGGTGAGGTTGTGAAGAAATTAGAATGCTCATACGTTGCTGGTGAGAATATAAAATGCTATGACTGCATTGGAAAACAGTCTGATAGTCCCTTAAAGAGTCAACATAGAGTGACCATATGGTCTAGCAATTCCACTTCCAGGTACTTACTTATTCCTAAGCAGAAATGAAAACACACATCCATTTGAAAACTTACACAAGAATGTTCCTAGCGACTTTATTCATAATAGCCCCCAAATGAGAACAACCCAAATACCCATCAGTGGATGAATAATAGATTAAAAAAATGCGATATATCGGGGCACCTGGGTGGCTCAGTGGGTTAAAGCCTCTGCCTTCGGCTCAGGTCATGATCCCAGGGTCCTGGGATCGAGCCCCGCATCAGACTCTCTGCTCAGCAGGGAGACTGCTTCCTCCTCTCTCTCTGCCTGCCTCTCTGCCTACTTCTGATTTCTGTCTGTCAAATAAATAAATAAATAATCTAAAAAAAATGCGATATATCCACAAGATGGAATATTACTTGGCAATAAAATAAATGAAGTAATGGTTCAGGCCCCAACATAGATGAAGCTTGAAAACATTATGCTGAGTGAAAGAAGATAGTCACAAAGGACCGTATGTTGTGTGGTTACATTTATAGGAAATATCCAGAATAGGCAAATCATAAAGATAGAAAGTTGATGAATAGTTGACAGGGGCTGGGGAAGATGAAGGGTTGGGGGTGACTTCTAAGGGGTGCAGGATTTCTTTTGGGGGTAGTGGAAATATCCTAAAATTGATTGTGTTAATGGAGGCACAACTCTGTGAATGTACTAAAATCCATTGAATCATACACTTTAAATGGGTGAATTGAACGGTGCGTGAATGATATCTCAATGAAGCTATTAGAAACATATACCAGTTCTTAAGAGAAGATAAAGGAAATTGTTATTTGGCCATTCTTATGAACATCTGGCCTATAATACTCAGATATTTATTAGAATTCATAACTTAAATTTTCAGACCGTTGAGTCTGTTACTAACTGCTTTGGAATATCTCTTGTTCATTCTGCAGAAGAGTGATTAGGAGCTCCAAAGAGAAATGACACAGTGTTGGGAATATTTTAAGTGCTTTCTGCCTTCTGTCTGTCAGGTATCCTAGTTTAGCAGGAAAACTCTGTTTTCCTCAGCTAGTTCTTGGCTGCTTTTGTTGTCCAAGGGGGAGCCGAAGGTGGATCTGCTCATAAAGGAGTTCTTGGCTGGATCCTTTTCTCTGTAAGGATCTCAGTGTCAGAATGCTAAGGCTATAATGGGCTCATCCATCAGCCTTGGAATATTATTATTATTATTTTTAAAGATTTTATTTATCTATTTGACAGAGATCACAAGTAGGCAGAGAGGCAGGCAGGGTGGGGGTGGGGGGAAGCAGGCTCCCGCTAAGCAGAGAGCCCGATGCGGGGCTCCATCCCAGGTCCCTGGGATCATGACCTGAGCTTTTGAAAGCAGAGGCTTTAACCCACTGAGTCACCCAGGTGCCCCGGCCTTGGAATATTAAGTCACGTGGACTTGAGTCAGCTTGTATTTGGGCAAACAAAGTGAGTTTTCCTCCCAGTTGGTTTTGTTTCAGAGTTCATCAATTCACTTAACTTTAATAGGATATTGTAGGCAAATCTTTCTTGCATGATCTTACTGACTTGTGTTTCTTGTATATTTTTCTGTCCCTTTCAGCTTGCAGCTAAGGAAGGTATAACTGAGAAATGCAGTCTGTCTTCCTTTTAGGCTGGTGTTTTATGTTAGTCTTGTGTGAGAGTCTAGAAAGGAAAAGAATTAGGAAGAATTGGGACAACTTCCTTATTCCTCATGAGTCAGATTCTTATAGTGAATTCAGTCTGTTTTTTGAAATACTATGAATTCTTAGCCAGATTATCCCTCAAACTCATGTTCAGAGGCAAATACCAAAGTATATCCTGAAACCAAGTATAAATGAATTTTAGATTGGCTGCCATTTTAGATGACTCACATCATTGCTCCCCTCATCATCACAAATAATTCTTGCACATACGTCAAGGCCCTAGATGCTGTAACTCAGTGGACCATTCAGAGATAAAGAATACATTTTGAAATTCCCAGAGAGGACATTATTATGTATCTTGAAATCTCAATGAGGACATGCCTCACTACCAAGAACAGGGATGCCAGTGAAGGAGAAACCCTGTCTCCTGTTAACCAGCCCACTCCTGCACTGCTGTATCCTTTCCTTACAGAAGCTGAACTGTGTGACCATGTCATGGTAGGTTTTCATAGGACACAGGTGATCTGGATTTTTTTGTGACCTGGCTTTCTGAGATCCTGCATGTTATGGGACTGTTGAGTGCTGTGTGTGACATAGGACCAATGACCAGATGTGCTGTTTCGTTGGTGTTTCCATGATTGATGTTCTTGTAAATCCCATAGGGAATTTAAATACAGATTGAATTTTAATGTTCAATCTGTGTTTAAATGGTTCAGTCTGACATTAAAAGGTATGACCCTTAGCAGAAATTAATTTTGTATTTGTGAATGGCCAGTTAAGCGAACACCTAAACAACTTCATAGAGCAGGCAAGAAAAAATCTCTCAAGCAAAATGCTTTGTCTGCTCCCTAAGTAGCTGTTGCCAGTGAGCCAAACTCCAGGACCACCATTAGTTTGGATACATGGATAGTTGACTGGAGAAGTTGAGGGTAATGTCAGCACGGTACAGGACATTATCTCTGCTTCGTCTGTCCTAAGCCTGCCATCCTACAGAGCTCTTGAATCGGAGCTCACAGTCCTATGAAGTACAAAACCACACCAAGCAATTGTAGCCAATGGACATTTGTGGCAACTGGAAGAAAAAGTTGACAGAGGACTTATCTGTATCTGTTTTCTCTTTCCCATCTCCTGCATTCTTACCAGGCAAAAGTAGAAGAAAAGATCCAGGACGTCTTCAGTTCTTACAAGTTCAACCACCTTGTACCAAGGTAAGCTGTGGTTAGGAGTGTGGGGGGACCGGGGAGACACCCCCTCCTGTGAGAGCCTTTCTTCCTTCCTCCTTGAGCCTGTTCAACCTCAAGGGATAAGTCTGTTGGGAGAAGGGTTTCTTGACCTTGACCTTGTGGCTACCTGGTAAGCTAATGACCCCAACTCCTTCCTCTGTTACAAAGCTGTTTAGAGGAGATGCTCTCCTTGATCTGAACCATCAGGTGTTACATGGGGAGACCCCTTAAGGCCTGGACTCTGAGGTCTGATGTTGGGGAGGGGAAATTCATGTTTTTGTTGCTTAGTCGTGACCTGGTGCTCTGGTGGTTCGGATCAGAACTCTTGAGGTTTTATTTTTCATTGGCACTTTAAGTCCAGGGGATGGCAAAGGTTGGATTCTCTTGATGTGTGTTGTGCTTTGACTGGAAAGAGGTGATGAGTCTGAGCTTCTCCCAGTCCGGCCCTTATTGGTAACTGTGGCACCGCTCCCAAGGATGCAGTCTCCAGGAAGCACACACAGTGCCTTTTGTTTCCCTCAGCACTTAGCAAGTTGAAGGTTTCTAAGCAATTTGATGTCAGAAATTCCATAAAGGGGATTATAAGCTTAACTTAAACTTATTGTTTAAGTTGAAACTTTGTTTTCCCTTGTTTGTAGTTTATAATGTATCACGTTAGATTTCACGAGGATATTTCATCCCTCTATTAGCATGTCTCTCCCAGTCCCAAGTTGTTTCTCCAGAACCATCCTGTGTCGTATTTCCAGCCGTCAGAACAGATTAGGAGTCCAAAACTGTGTGTGGTCATGGTTTTATCTTAGTGATCCCACACTCTGCCTTGACCCCCTCTGAACAAATGGCCATTGCGCTGCTGGCTAATTCACTCTGGCTGGGAAGCGGGGGGGGGGGCCCGAGGTCCTGCCTGAACCCTGAGTCCTGTGCTTTGGAGACTGAACAGAATAATTCCAGGCTAGTCAGGCTCTGAGTGCTCTGGTTTTACTGGGACATCATGCGTGGTTCTGGCCCAAGTTCCTTTTGTGTCTTTTTACCACCATTATATTTTGCCACTATTTCCTTGAAAAAGAAATTTTCTTCTGAAAATTCTGATTAGCCAAGGCAGAAAACAATTGGAAAAGGCAAATTGGAAAAAGGGAAAGGCAGATGAGAAGGTCATCTTCATTTTTCTTCCCTGAGGAAGGAACGAGGGAAGATACCAACTAACTAGAGGAGTCTTTCCCCGAACTGCTGAACTAAATTTCTATATTAACCTAAAGCTCAGTCCTCAATAAATGAGCTATTGCTCCTCCGGAGCCACAGCTGGAGATTAGGAAATAAAGCCATTGGTTTCCATAGCTCGGAAGCTGAAACTAATACAGCAGTGTATGTCAACTCTACTTAAATAACATTTTTACCAAATAGGTTTTTAAAAACAATTTGTTTATTTCTTCTAAGTTTTTATTTAAACACGGTTTCTATCTTAGAATAATCTCCAAGGTATATTAAATGGAAAAATAAAAATACAGAAAAATATGTGTCGTACTCTGCCATTTGTGCTAAAGAGAAAACAGTGTTTTTACAAATCAGTCAGCAAACAGCTGAGGGGGGCATGTGGGCACCAGCTCTGCCCGGGGCAGGCGAGACTTATTGAGAGGCAGAGGGACTTGGTGGTGGTGAGGGGTGTGATTACTTCAGGGGGTCTTTGTGCCTAGCTGCTGCATCCCCGGTGACTCACCTGACTGGGCTCTGAGTCACTGTCTGCTGTCTGAGGCCCTGTGGACACATGATCCCTGTGTTTTGAAAGGGACCTTTGATCATCTGACATTCCTTTTCACCCACCATCATAACAGACCCTTGGACTTTTCTTTTATTCTTACTGAGATGTGAGGGAGAATGGGAGGTTACATAGTCTGGGAGGAAGAAGTGGTGTTTGGGGAAGGGTGCCAGAGGACAATAAAAAAAATTAAATCCCCTGAATTCATAGGTCTTAGGTCAGGTGTGGGTGGAAGACAAAAATGTTCCTCCTGGGTTTGGATCTTTCTGGAAGTAGAATATGTCAGGGGGTCTGGGTTTATTTCAGGAATCTGACATTTCCTATTTTATCATTGCTTATGAAAATGAGTGTTTTAAAGGATGCTAATAAGTATATCATTATGTCAAAGCATGCTAATGAATATTAGAGATATTACACATTTTGGCAGAAAGGCTGAGTGAATGGCTGATAGAAATCAACTTATCAATATAAGGCTGAAGCCAAACACCACCATCATAGAACTAACTTCTAGGATAAAAGAATAAACCTGAAGGGGCGCCTGCGTGGCTCAGTGGGTTAAAGCCTCTGCCTGAGGTCATGATCTCAGGGTCCTGGGATCGAGCCCCACATCAGGCTCTCTGCTCAGCGGGGAGCCTGCTTCCCCTCTTTCTCTGCCTGCCTCTATGCCTACTTGTTATCTCTCTCTTTCTCTGTCAAATAAAGAGATAAAAAAAAAAAAGAATAAACCTGAAAATTTAGCAAAATTTTAAATTATTATCACAATTTCAATGTTTAACATTTTAGAAGTCAAATTTTAGAAAGTCTGACATAATATAGGAACACCTTCATTTTTAGCTAAAGTGAATATTCAGATACTAGCAATAAATCTAAATGACACGGCGTGTTTGTTTTTGAGGTTATGATGCTGGTCGGTGTAATAGCATCGCACACACATCCAGGACCACTGACTGCGCACAGGTCCAGGGATGCCAGGAATGATGCTGAGGGAGGCATTTGCCTATTGAACCTTCCAGTGCCACAGCCCAGTAGCAGATTTGGCTGAAATTCAAGGCTGAAGCTGAATGTCAGTACCTTCTACAATTATTCCCCATTCCAGGAACGATTTCTTACTCTAAGACCGTGAAGCCTGCATCCTCTCCTGGAGTGAGGTAGTCCCTCCCAAGGATCTTTTTGACTGTGCTTTTAACAGTTTTGTTTGTCAGGAGCCTGCTTTCCCATGAAAGCTAATTTTTCCTTCCCTGTGGTTATTCCACACACTTAGGAATTCACCTTTTTCATTTATTCCATTAGCTTTGGTAAAAAAAAGCCTAGATGCATTAAATTAAACTCCCTCTCTTTCTCTTTCTCTCAGGTACTTCCATGTCATTTTCCTTTTGGGCAACAGGGTGATCAAGGCCCACCCAGGTCCTGCCCCTGCTGGGCTCTTAGTCTCATGGAAGAGGTAGCCATTAAACAAACAAATGCAAATACACTGTTACCAATGGGATGAGTGTCAAGGAAGGGAATGGGACACTCTGAGAGAGTAACGGCGGTGGGGGGGGCTGTAATTTAGGTTGGGAAGTTAGGGAATGTGTCTTAGTCTGTTCTGCCTGCTACAACAAATTACCATGGACTAGGTGGTTTAAACTAAAAACATTTATTTCTCACAGTTTTGGAGGCTGGGGAGGTTCGGTATTAGATGAGCGCCAACTCCCTGGTTCATAAATGGCCATCTTCCCACTGTGTTCTCAGGTGGAAGGGGTGAGGGAGCTCTCTGGAGCCTCTTCTGTAAGGTCGCTAATCCCTCATGACCTAATCACATCCCGAAGGCCCCACTTCTAATACCATCACACTGGGAATTAGGATCAACATGAATTTTAAAGGGACGTGAACATTCAGTCTGTGGCAGAAGGCCTCTCACAGAAAGTGGCTCTCAGGCTGAGACCGAGTGGGTGAGCAGGAGTTGGTCAGAGTTTAGGAGTTTAGGAGGCTGTCGCAGCATTCCAGACAGAGGGAACAGCATGAGCTAAAAGTCTTGAGACTGAAAAGAACAGATCACAAGGAAGGCAGTGTGACTGGAGTTTAGTGAGGGTCTGAGATGAGATTGGGGAGAAATAGGTAGAGGCACATCATGAATGGTCTTGAACCCAATGGGGTTCAAGTCACAGTAAGAAGTTACATTGTATTTACAGTTTACGTTGCTGCCCAGTACACCTATATTTCTAAGTTCTTTTTCAGATATTGGAACTGGACTCCCAGTATCTTTAACATATTTACTTGATCCTTTCTCTTGTGTATCCCTATCTCCCATCCCCCTCTGCACAGCCACATAGATGTCCTTCTCATCCTCTCGAACACTGACACCCTGCAGTCCCCGCCCCGCCGCCCCCCTCCTACACAGAGCCCGTGTTGTTCTGCTTCACCTAATGGCCTGGCTTTAGGGCTGAATTTTTCAGGAAGGAAAGGGAAAGAGCTCTAGCTTTTTATTTTAATTCCTTACACAGAAAAGATTTTTGGACAGAGGTGAATTGAGAATAAAGGAATAGTAAGGGTATTGGTTTTTTAGGGCTGCTGCAATGAAATACCACAGACTAGGTGGCTGAAACAACAGACATTTATTTTCTCAGAGTCTTGGAGGCTGGAAGTCTAAGATCAAGGTGCTGACAGGGTCGGTTTCTCCTGAGGTCTCTCTCCTTAGCTTGTAGACGGTGTCCTCCTCATTGTGTCCTCACATGGCCTTTCCTGTATGTGCTCCTCCCTGATACCTCTTTCTCTTCTTATAAGGTCATTAGACATTGTTTAATCTTAAATAACTCTTTAAAGATTCTGTCTCCAAATACAGCCCCACTGGGGTTTAGGGATTGAACATATGAATTTTGGGGGACACGGTTCAGTCCATATCAATAAGGCTCTTAGTACAGTTTTGCTGACTGAAAGAAACTGTATATATGTCCCTTCAATTTAAAGGAATAATAAGCCTCAGGGCACCTGGGTGGCTCAGTGGGTTAATCTTCTGCCTTTGGCTCAGGTCATGATCTCAGGGTCCTGGGATCAAACCCCACATCGGGCTCCCTGCTCAGCAGGGAGGCTGCTTCCCCCTCTCTCTCTGCCTGCTTGTGATCTCTCTGTCAAATAAATAAAAAAAGGTCTTTTTTTTTTTTAAAGAAATATTTAGTAAAAGAATAATAAGCCTCAGAGGAGAAGTTAAAATTCATTCAGCATTGTGGCCCTTGAAGCTCTATGTAAACAAAGAGAC